TATTACATACTTATTAAAATAGCTCAAGTTAAGAAAAAAAATACTAAGTGCCATCAAGAATGCAGCTGGAATTGTAGACACTGCTGGTAGGGATATAAATACTACAGCCACCCTGGAGGACAGTTTGGCAATGTCCTGTAAAGTTAAATCTATACTTACCACATGACTCAGCAATCCTACTCATCGGTATGAATCCTAGGGGAGACTTATGTTCACACAAAAATCGGTACGTGTTCATGACAGCTTTATTTGGAAGAATCAAATCTTAGGAACAACCCACATGTCCTTAAGTGGGTGAACGAATAAAGAAACTGTGATCCATCCACAAAGTGGAATACTACCCAGCAGTGAGAAGGAACACACACATCATAACTTGGATGGGTCTCATGGGTATTACGCTGAGTGACAGAAGGCTGTCCTAAAAGGTTGCACACTATGGGATTCCATTTACATAACATTCTCAAAGAGACATTTATCATGATGTAGAATGGATAAGAAGTTGCCAGGGATTAGGAGAGCGTGACTATCCAGGGTGAACACAAAGGAGTTTTGGGGGGTGATGGAACAGTATTGCACTGGATGGTAGAGGTCGTTACACGAATCTAGACATATACCAGAACTATACAGAACTTGTATCGGAGTCCCCACAATAGCTCTCAGGCTCAATAATCTACTAGAAGGACTCACAGCCCCAGGATGACAAGAAGCTCTGTGTTTGGAACCCCTTCACTCCCTGCCCTTCGGTCGGTTCAAATTTGTATCCTTTCCTTGTAATAAGGATCGCCATCATTTTAAGAGGTGTCAGTGAGTTCTGTGAGTCTCTCTAGAGAACTATCGAACCTGAGGGTGGTTCTGGGAACTCTCCAAATTTGCAGTGGGTATCAGAAGTCCTGAGCTAGAAGACTGTGCCCTTAGCTTTGAGTCTGCCTCAAACCAGATGCTAGGTAAAAGCTGATGAAGTTCAAACAAGGTCTGCTGTTTAGTTCATGGTATTACAGAAATGCCAGTTTCCTGGATTTGATAACTGTGCTATGGTTATGTAAGCTGTTTTCATGGGGAGAAGCTGGGTGATGGGTACACAGGTACTCTCTGTACTGTTTTTGCAACTTTTTTATCAGTCTAAAGTTATTTCGAAAAAATGTTTATATGAAAAAAAAAAAAACAGGCGCAGAAAAATTGAGCACAGATATACCAGGTAAATGCAAATAACGTACACAACAGGGGTGATAATGTCAGACAAGAATAAAATGAAGGCCAAAATCATTAAGCGAGACAGAGGGGAATTTAATAAGACATAATCACCACTGAAAATCTGACAGGCCTGGGTAGGTATCAATGCAACGTCCAAATACAGAGAGCAAACAAGACAGGAAATTTAGGAAAAACATAAAAATTCATGAGACTCTAACTGACCACATGGAAGGACATTACTAAGACCTTAATAGATTCCAAGAAGTAGACATAATATAGATAACTTCCCTAGGCATGATTCAATAAAACTAAAAAAATTATGGGAGAATTATCTAGCATATCAAAATTTTAAAACCCTTGGGTAGAAGAAATCAACATAAAAACTGCAGAAAATCTAGAAGCTAACTATGAACATATATCTATGTAATGCTGCTAAATAAAGCAGAGCTTAAAGAGGAAAGTAAATAGCTCTATATATTCATTTACTTTCATTCTTTTTGATTTAGGAATTTAGTAATCAACTCTAAAGAACGGATGAACAAAAATAAGGAGGAAATAAAATTAATTTAAAAACAAAATTGGTAGAATCTAGGAAAAATGAAAACGAGAAAAGCCCACAATTACAAAAGATTTCAAATATTTTAGTCAACTCTATGTAAATTAATTTGAAGACAAATAAAACGGAAATTTTTGTAGGAAATAAAAAAAAAAAAATCTTCAAAATTGATCCCAGTAGAAATTTAAAGCAATCCAGATGAGAAATGGATACAGTTACCAAGAGTTAACCCCGTCCTCACCCACCAAACCAAAAAGTACCAGATGAATTTTACCCAAACTTTGAGGAATAACTTTCAATTTGTATTCTAGAACCCAGCAAAGGGAAAGGTTCTAAATTATTTTTGCAAAGCTAGCACAACTTTAAAGCATAATTTACATAAAATCTGACCAAAACAAAAAAATACAGACCAACTCATTTACACACATTGCCACAAAAGTACCAAACATAAGCCAACTGAATTAATACATTGAAAAAGTGACCGTTAAAATACAAAGATGGCTCAATATTTGGAAACCTATTCCTTATTAACTCTGAAAAAGAAAAACAAATGCTAAAAAAAGAAAAAAACCTTTTTATCAAATTCAACATTTACCCTTGATAGGAACCCTTTAATAACAAGCACAAATGGAAATTCCTTTACACGAAAATATTTCTATATTTGAAATACCTCAAAATAGCAGCCAGTGTCATGCTTAATGGTAAAAGACTAGATGCATTTCCATTACAGTCAGGAATGAGAAGGATGTATCATGACTTTTAAAGTTCTGAAAGTATTTGCTAAAAAAATTAATCAAGAGAAAAAAATTAAAAGGTCTAGAAATCAGAAGGGTAGGGAAATTATCCTTATTTCCAGGTATGCAAGCATAATAGCTGCGATCACAACTTAAACTTACACAATGTTATATGTCAGTTACATCTCAGTAAAGCTGGGGGGCAGGGGCAGAAATAGAAATCTTGCAAGCCGAAACACAACAGAAAGACATCTTTAAAGTGGCAAGGGGAAAAAAAAATCAAAATATCTTTCAAAAAGCAAAACAAAGCAATCTTTTCAAAATAAAGGCAAAATAAAGATTTCAGACCAAAATAATAATAATAATACCTGCAAACTCCCAGAGAATTCATTAAAAAAAAAATGAACAGCAGTGGTTCTCCATGTGAGGTCCCCAGACAAGCAGCAGCATCACAACCTGAGAATTTTATTAGAAATATAAATCCTTGGGTCCCTCCCAAACCTACTGAATCGAACTCTAGCCCCACAATCTGCATTTTTAAGAATCTTTCTAGGTGATTCTGATGTAGGCTCAAGGTTGAAAACCACCAGATAAAAGAATTCAGCAAGGTAAATGGGTACAAAACTATGCAGAAAAATTAAGAGCTTTCCTATGTTCAAAGAATCAATTAGAAAAAAAGAGTCCACTTACATGTCAGCAATGACAACAAAAATTTATCTACCAAGCTTAGTCCTGTTATTGAATAGGAAGAATCAAATTTTTAGCCAGATGTCAGTTCTGCCTACTTAATCTATATTTAATGCTATCTCAAAAATGCTACTATCAAATTTTTTAGTAGTCAAAGAGCTACCAAAGGTCACAGGGGAATAGCTCTTATATCTTTTTTTTTTTTTAATCATAAAATTAATTCGGTTGATGACAAAGTAGCATTTCAATTCAGTGAGAAAGAGACATACCATTTCATATAAAAGGTACTGAAATTTATTTTGGAGTAAGACTGAGGTCTATTTTTAAATACATCTTGAATGGACCAAAGATTTAGAATTAAAAATGGAAAGCAGATTTTAAAAAACAGATTTTTTAAAAATCTCAGGGTAGAGAAAAACTTCCTAGGCAAATCATAAATCTCAGAAGCCTTAAGAGGAAATGTTGGCAAATACGATGCAAAATTCATGTAAAGAAAAATAAGCACTCAAACTGGAAAAAAATAGTTACCACACATGGCAATTGCTATTTTGTCCTATTCAAAAAAGCACTTTTGCAAATCAATAAGAAAACCACACCCTAAAAAACAAGATAAAGGATATAACACAGATGGCTTTTGAAAAATAAAGCTGGTCAGTGTCATTCATGAAAGAAAAAGAAAATAAAGTTACAGTTTTCATATATCAGGCAAACAAAAAATAAATTTTACTATAGTGTTCGTGAAAACACAGCAAACCAGCACTCTAGTATGTTAGAAGTATAAATTCAGCTCAAAGAAGTTTGTTAATTTGTCAGTATTTAAATAAAAACCACATGCCTTTTGATCCAATAATTCAGCTTCTAAGAGTTTATCCTCCAGACAAAAATCACACCAAGACACACATAAAGGATATTCACTGCAGCCACTGTTAGCAGCTGGGGATGGCTGGACATTAGAAATGATGGCACATCCGTATCACAGGACATTATGCAGTCAATGAAAGCTAAGAAGGACACAGATGGGTGGATGTGGAGCCATCCCCCCAAAAAAGTGAAGGACATATTAGTTTGCAAAACACGATTATGCTAGGTGTACAAGGAGTTACTTTTGGAAGGTCTAAGTGGCTTTTTGTGAGTAGTTTTGCTTCTTGGGAAGGAAATGATGGAAAAAGGGCAAGAGGAAGACTTCCCCTTCAAGGTATATCCTTTCGTATTTTGATGTTTTATACCACGTACACATATGGTAATTTTTTTCATTGAAAACATATGGCGGGGGTGGGGGGAATAACGATAGACACATTCCTACCACCAACCGCATTTTGTCACTTCTTCTTCCTAGCCCCTTTTTGGGCGCTAATTGGTCTTCACTTAGGGAGACCGCTGATCCTTACAACCGGAATCGTTATTCTCATTTCATAATAGAACAAACTCATTTGATAAAACTAGCATCGCAGGTTTCCCAGTCCCAGGTAGAACATGGTGCCGCAGGCCAGTGGCCCTGGCCACGGCTGACACCCTAAACAGCTTAGTGTGCTTAGCGCCGCACACCCGCCAGAAGGGCGGCGTCCCCCGAGGTTACCAGCACCTGGTCTGGGCACCCCTTTCCTCATGTAAGTGTGTTCTCTCGGCAAACAGACCCATTAGAACAAGCACAAGGCAGAAAGCAAGCGTGAGGGCAAAGTCTCAGCCTCTCTAACAGCCGCAGAGGCAGCAGCAAATGGTACTGGAGGTATGGACGCCAAGGAACCTTTTATTAGTGAGGTATTTAATTGCATTTTTTATATATATATGGCAAAGTCTCAGCCTCTCTAACAGCCGCAGAGGCAGCAGCAAATGGTACTGGAGGTATGGACGCCAAGGAACCTTTTATTAGTGAGGTATTTAATTGATATATATATATATATACATATAAATTCCACAACAAATTGAAGATTTGAGACCTAATTCTTCAGATTTATGGCAAAGATATCTGAGGATTCCAATATCCTGTAACTACTACCCCATCAGTGAGGAAGTCACTCAATGTACTTGAGAAGCTATTAAGAAACTGGCTTTTTTTAAGGAAAATCAATCATGGCTGAGTCTGTGTGTGTCGCGTTGCTGCCTCTCCGCGCACCAAGCACGTGCTTTTCTTTTGAAGGCTAATTTATAAGGCCTTCTGTTCAGCCAAGGGCATTGCCAAGTGCAAAGTAGAAAATGCAGAACTTGCAAAATGCAAACAGCTGAGTTTGCTATGGCTTAGAATCAGGGCAAACTCTATAAGAAAAGGTCAAAGCTTACAGTAAAAGACAAGAGGATGAGATATATGTGTGAGAGAGGGTCCCGCAGCTCCTTTAAGGAGGGAATTCTTGGTGTGTTTACAGTTGCTTCAGGTCTGGGAGGTGGCAGCTCTGCCCGGAAGCCCAGCTCACTGGCAGGGAGGTGATATTGACAGGTGTGGTGCCAGGAGACCCAGAACCCAGGGGAGTGATGCCAAGTTACCACTAACTTATGTAAGAGGTCATATGAGGGCCCCCAAATGTCCCCCACATTTAAATTAATAACAGAACCACAACTTTGCTTCTCTGTCAATCTCCTCATTTTCTCATTTGCTCACAGCTGAGAAAGGCAGATGTGGAAACTTATGATAAATACGTATTGAGGACTCACGCCACTATTATCTCCAAAATCTTCAGCTGTTTCCCTCATTAATACACTGTGCTTTTTTATAAATACAGAAATTCCACGTCATAGAAAACTATTGTCAGAAAGCGTCAAGATTCACATCCAAACACCTCTGTCCTTTACCAGTTGAAATGGAACATCAAGACATGCTTTAACTGGGACAGCCTGCAGAGGTGACCCCCAGTGGGTGGAACCCCCTACACACAAGAACTCACATGCTCATCAAACGCTGATTCCAACCAAGGTCTCAAAGGTCTCAGGATCTTTGCATTTCAGCAATTTGAAATATACAAAGTAAAAATTAAGTTGCTAATTTAACACTCAGGATTTCTGGGAGATAGACCCACCAATCAATATATGGCATGAGAGGAATTTTACTCTTCTGATTAAACACATCCAGGACATCTATCTAGACGTGACCGGTTAAAGTGAAGCCCCAGCAGGCCGTGCGCTCTGTCCAGGACGACCCGAGCTCAGGGCTTCTCCTCACTAGTTGTCAGATGGTTCCCGGAGCCCTTGGCTGTGGAGACCCCGCCCACTGACCTCCAGCAGGATCTGAGCCTCGGGGTCCACATCGAGAATGCTCTTGCCGCTGTTGGCCTTGGGAAGAAGGGAAGAGTGCGTTCAATGACCAATGATGTGCAGCCGAGAACAAGCAGTGCTGTTCTGCTGGTTTCAAGATCATTAGAGTGGATCCATTATCTCCTGATGCCACAGGGAAACATGGTGGGGGCTCTGGCTGCCTCACTGAGGTCCCTCCACCTTGGCATGCCATTGTGGCACAGAAGGCCAAACGATGACTCATCATGGAAGCACAGAACTAGGAGCAACTCCAGCCCTCCTCGTCTTGCAGATGGACCACCCACCCGCCCCAGTTCCCACCTTGGGTAGGGCCCCGCCTGCCCGGGGTCGTTCTTTCTGCTAACCCATCCTCCATGGACCCCAACAGCACTCTGTGCTGTGCACCAACTGGCATCCCTCTGGCCAGCAACAGCTACTGCAAACAAATTTGGAATAAACTATCTCTAGATGGAGCAGGAAAAGGGCTAAAGCCGAGAAAGTAGAGAAATGCCCATGCTAACCAGGTTCAGCTCTGAGGTATCTCCAACCGCCCACACCTCCATCTTCTCGAACTGGAAGTCTTCTTTGGCTGACAGCTGAGGGCTGTTGTACGTGGTACACGTGGGCTTGGCCTTGCTGTGTCCTTTCCCAAAGTCAACATCGATCCACAGCCCAAAGTAATTGTGCTGCCCTCCCATGCCCTGCGAAGAGAAGATCATCAGCATCGCCTCGGCCTGAGCATCAGACCCTGCGCCCACATCAGCCTAAGTACCAGTGTGAGAAGGGAATGGGTGAAAAGTGAATGTGATTTTCTTTAATGTTTTTTATCTCTGAAATATATAGATTGGTACAATTTACATATCCTATTACAAGTTACTAGAATAATCATTGAGGTGTCTGGACTCCTACTCCATGTCACGCATCGGGGCCCTGAAGCCCCGGCAGAATGAACAGAACACAGCATGCTTGTGTAATCGAATGCACACAGCTGCCCCTGACATGGCGGGAAGTGTCGGCCTGGGCATATCAGGATCGAGTCCACCAGAGATGGACGCCACGAAGGCAGGACGTCCCCAGCCCTTCTGCAGTCCTCACCAGTCCATTTGGGATGGTCTGCTGCCCGTGATTCAGGTACATGTAGTGGTTGTTGTAGCCCGTGCAGGTGTGCACGGCCATGTTGGGGGAGATGGAGAACAGGAAGCATTTGTCGTCCCCTGCAAGTGACCAGAGTGCAAATCAGCAGGATCACTGGTCTGAGCCAGGCAGAGAGAAGCCAGAATTGCAAACAAGCCACCACTCCGAAGGCAGAAGAACAAGGACTGTCAGATGGGTCTTCAGATGTGCTCTGAGCTTGCACACACCCAGGAGCTCAGACATCTCAGACCAGTGGGCAGTTCCCAGGCCTCGCAGAGGACAGGCCCTGTGACTGCCTAGATCCTCAGAGTATGAGCTGAGGGTGAGAAGGTGAGAGTGACCTCTAAAAAGGAACGTGACATATACTTGCTGGGGACACCTTTTAGCTCTCACCAGGAAAGCAGAGGTGGGAACTCTGCCCGCTGTTCACCAGAAGAATGCATCAAAGTCAGAAAGGGCAGGTGTCTTTTAATTTAGGAGCAAGGGGGCAGGCGGTCACTCCAGGTATTGACGTGGTGCTGGCAAGGCCTCCTCAAGTCAGCACTTGACACTGTGTAAGGCTGTCCCCAGCCTAAAAGAGCACATCATCCAGAGGGGAGAGAAAACCTGCAGACACACAGCTGCCCCACAGGGAAGCAAAGGTGACCGTCTACCTTCATCCAAGGGCACAAGTGTGACCACAATGCCACTGAAAGAAGGTACTAGACAAAACTGTAGAAATGACAGCTTCCTTTTTTCTTGATTCCTTCATTCTAGAAGCACATCCAGCATCGGGGAGAGGGTTGGAGGCCATGCCTGGCTCCCAGGCTGCTTCCAGCTCAGGGGCAACCAAACCAGAGATGCCCCCACTGCTGTGAAAACGTGGCCCAAAGGCCTGCTAACATCACGAAGGGCTCCTGATGTCGAAACGAGCCCCACAAGCCAACCCAAGACCCAGTTCACGGTACTTTGGGGTTAGGCCATTCGTGAGGCGGGAAGGAAGGTTCTAGGAAATAAATGGGAACACGGATGAGGAGGACATCCAAGACAGACATAAAAGGGTATTCGAGCCCCAAGAGCCCCCAGGAGAGGCTAGTCCTCAGCAGAAGAAAGGCCCAGACAGGCAGAGTTGGGCAAGCGAAGCTCAGGCCTCAAGCTAGGCAGATCGGCAGGGTGCAGCGGAGGTGGTCGGGGAGCTTCTGGAGCCGCTGAGTTAGTGCCTCCAAGGCTGGGGGCAGGGGTGGGGGGGCGTGCTGAGATGGAGATGGCTGAGGTGAGAGCCACTCCCTGGAGGATGGACCAGCGGGGTCAAGGCACAGCGGGGACCCTTCCCCTTACTGAAGAGTTTGTGAGTAGTGGGGTAGAGAAAGAAGGGAGATGAGCCTGGAGAGGTCCCCTGGAGCCAAGTGACAACGGGCTTTACTCTAGGCTTGAGTCCAGGGGCCTGGGCAGCCCCCGCAGCTTGGGGGCAGTTTTAGACATAATGAACTGCCCCCAGAGCTGGGCATAGCATCGCTTTGCTTTGCAACCCTAAGACTGTCTTTCGACCAACATTTACGGGCTCCTGATGCTAAGAAAGGGGACTGGCCCACAAAGTAGAGGCCCCTTGGCTGCAACGGACCCCACTCTAGCCCATAGGGAGGCCACGTGGGGAAAGGTTACTCTCTAGGACGCAAGGACCCAAAGAGTCAGTATTACCAGCAAAAAAAGAAAAATCATGCCTACAGTAAGGCTCCCTCCCCATCTAACTCTCACAACAGTGATACTCGACAACCACCCACCACGACAGTTTATACGCTACTTTCCCACAGTACCGTTTCACATAATTCTGGGGAATCGAAGCCCAGAGAAATCGAGCACCTGGCCCAGGACACGAGCTGGACTCATGAGGCTTGGTGCTCAGTCCAACGTCACAAGCCTTTCCAACGGCACCACAGAAGACCCAGCAAAAGTGAAGTAGCCAGTGGTTGTCACTTCACTTCAAGTCTAAAACATCGGAAGTGATCGTTTCCAGGACAAATGGGCAAGAACTCTCTGTCTGAACTTGACCAGACTCAACGATGCAAAGCTGCCCTCTGCTGGAATTCCCTTCTCATATTCCAGAACAGAATGAACTCGGGTTGGAAAGCTTAGTCATTCATTTCTCTGCTGTTCTTCGGGAAGATTAATTCTGCTTGTTAAAAAAACATTAGACCCAGCAGATCCGACTTGAAGTTAATATTAAAGGAGCTAGAAGAAGCAGTTTCATCTATAATAAAACTGTTCCGTATTCTCTCACAGCAATAAATCGTAGCCATGAGTACAGCTATAGGCTGAGTCCGTGAGTCCTCCTAATGGATCACTGATGGGTGGATGGTCTTGGGGACTCCTGACACAGTGGGGAAAAGCTGGCAGCAGTACCTGGATTAATGATCTGGAACATTCTAAAACCGAGATTAAAAAAAATCCTAGAAATAACAGGATCCGGGGGACAGAGGTACCCAACCTTCGCCTCATGATTCCTTCCACCCACCCCAGGCAAAGGGCCCCCCGTCGCTGCTAAACCTCTCCCGTGATGGCAACTCTGTACCTGGACATGGCTGCCCCAGTGGCAGAAGCTCTGCCTAGCAGAAGGAAGACGAGAACAATTCCAGAGGTATGCAGTATGACAGAGGGCCACAGAGAGCACAAGGCCCTCGCATGGTTGGGAAGGATTCCTGGAGGAGGGGACCCTGGGCTGCGTCCCAACAAGAAGCTGGCTATGCAAACAGGTGGAAGAGGGAGAAAGCAGCATGAGCCAGGTTTTGAGATGAGAGGGAACACGCACGGCCTGTTCTGGAAACCACGGGAAGTCCTGTGAGACTGAGCACGGAATGCGAGGGGGACAGGAGTGGGTCGTGAGGGTAGAGATAAAAGGTGTGCCGTCCTGAGGGCAGTGGGGTCTGTGCAAGCACATCAGCTTCACTGGGATGTGGTGAATGGATTGGAGGGACGAGGCTAAATGCAGAGGGCCAGCGAGGAGGCAGCTGCATAACACTGCCGAGAGCGAGGAGAGCAGAGGGGAGGGATGCAGCAGAATGAATGAGAGCTGATGACTGTCTGCTTCCGACGTGCAGTCCCCGTTCCATAGGAGCACATGGCCTCGCTCCTCGCTCTTGCATCTCAGGTCCTCCCTCCCCCCCGACCCAGCCAGGAAGGGCATTAACCTCGCCCTCTCAGTGGGAGGGACCCTCCCAGGAATTCATTTCGCCCATGGGGGTGAGAGCGGGCCTGTATCTGGTCTCAGAGCCCCTAGGAAAAGCCCTCGTCCTCAAGGATCCCTACTGAGAACATAGATTCGGGCAGCCGGGCCACGCACCAGGGAATACGCAGTGCCACCAAACCCTGGGAAGACAATTTCACCCCCTGAGTAGTTGAACCACCCACTGCCCAGCAGACAAGTGTTTTCAAAATGCTTATCAGAGCATTCTTCGAGGAAGGGGAAGAATTTACTTAGAGCCATCCCTCCGCTGTATTCGAGATCCCACAAAGAACTTCCAAACTCCAGCAAAATCACAAAGCTGAAAAACCGCAGGAGAAGCAGCAAAGCAAACACCCCTTGGGTTCCAAGAAAGATGGTGCCATGAGACGAAACGTCCCATCTGAAAGAATCGGCGTCTCCTGATCCCTTATGAGGCACCCACGGCCCAACCTCTCCCATGGCCTGGACCTGGCACCATTTAATAAATCTGAAATTCGAGATGCAGATACCTGTCCTCCTGCTAATCTGGCTCTGCCATCGGAATCAGAAAAGAAATCCATGAAGCATTAAACCACTACGTTTCACTGTCCTCTAAACGCATCTAGATAAACACTTGGAGGAAGAGATGGAAGAAATGCTCACATGCTTTGTTGGTGCCCAGAGGTCTCCACACCTCAGCTGTCTGAACAGAACTTGTAACAAGCTACCAGCAGGGTTTTGTAGCCAAGTCTTACCTTGAAACTGAGGCTTGATTTCCCAGGAGCAGGAGGCAAACCCTCCGAACACATAGCCATCGTGGTCCTCGAGGAGTGCCACGCAGGGCCCCCGGTGTGGGATGCGCCCGCAGAGCTGGGCGAAGCTGTGCCCATGGAGCTCGGTTGAGAAGAGCAGATGCCAGCGGTGCTGCTGCTCCCTGGGCAGGTGGGAGTTGACAAAGATGACCGACAGGACATCCAGGACACTCTCAAACTCCTGCTCCTGGTCAACTTGACACTTAGGGACCAGGGTGGTCAGATTGAGGGACAAGCGCAAGAGAAAGCCTCTGTGGATGACCACACTCAGGAACGTGGCCACGAGGTGGGCCCTGAACACCCAGTCCTCGATCATAGCTTGGTCACAGTCACAGTCCAGTAGCTGAGGCCCCAGAAGCTTCTTGCCGTCTAGGAGAGGGAAAAACAGTATTAGTGGATGATTACATCTCCTTATGTCTGCTCCCCTAAACCTGTGCTGTCCAAGTGGGAGCCACATGTGGCTTCCGAGCACTCGTCACTGGCTCATCTGAATTGAGATGTGTGGCATGCATGAAATGTACACCAGATTTCAAAGACTTGGTATGAAAAAAGGATGTACAATATCTCAATCATTTTTTTTCCACATTGATGGCCAATGTTAAATTATATTTTGGATGTATTAATAAAGTTAACTTCATTTGCTTCTTTTTATTTTAATGTGGTTACTAGAATATTTAAAATTTCATGTATGTCTTGCTTTGGTGCCTGAATTATTTCCGTTGGACAGCATGAACCTAAACGATTCGACATCAACACTCTTGTCTTTTTCTCCACAACAGGCTGCATTTCAGAGGCCCAGGTGGCAGTCACGGCCTCATCCCAGGACACGGCCCTGACACTCTCAGCTGTTGCTCTTGATAGTACTACACCAAAAGCCACTTGTCCAGGGCTTCTGCCCTAACAAAGTCCTTTGGAAAGGATGTAGAAGTGGGCTGTTCTCCAGCCAAGGAAGGGTAGTGGCTGGTCACTTATTTGGTACTCCTATAGTTTATCAGGAAGAAGTTTCATTAACTACAAATTATGCTTAGTTGTTTCAGAGCAGCATCTATAATCCTGTTTTCTATCTCTTACCTACTAAGAATGGAGGTGACATGGTGGTGACACCAGAAGACAAACTGCTGGTTACGTTTATATATATTATTATACAGTTATACATAAACATATAGTTATATATTATATGTCGTTACACTTTCCAAGTTCCAAATGCCTCACTTAAATTAATTTTTGAAATATAACCTGTTTTTCAAACTCCATTTTTAAATCCAGCTTTAGAATAAAACAGTAATACCTTTATAAGTCTGCTTTGCAAAGAGATCTACCATGAGGTATTTCTAAATCTCAAGGAAACTCACATAGATACTGTTTCTCACTCAACGACAAGAATGCATGAGTTCCTCAAGTGTATGTGAAACATTCTCCAGAATATACCATATGTTAGACATAAAACATGACTCAATAAATTTAAGAGAATTGAAATCACACAACATGTTCTTGAACCACAAAATAATAAGATTACAAATGGGTAACAATGTAATTTGAGAAATGTACAAACATGTAAAAATTAAATAACACACCTCTAAATAACCAATAGACCAAAGAAAAAAATCATAAGGGAAGTTAGAAACTACTGAGAATGAATGAAAACAAAAACGCGGCATACCAAAACTTATAGGATGCAGCTAAAGCAGTACTTAGATAGAAATTTATAGCCATAAATGCCTACGTTGAAAAAGAAGAGATCTCAAATCAATAACTTAATCTTCTAGCTTGAGAAACTAGATAAAGGCTTCCTGCCCTGGCTCCATCAATGGGCCTGGTCACCGTCAGGTCAGGGTACAGCTTGGGCTACCAGTGAAATCCACCCTGCAATGGGTGCAGGCCTGGTACGTGAATGAGCCTGCCGACATTCCTGAACAGCCCCACTGCGCATCGGGCTAGAGCAGCTACACCATCCTGGGGTCCAGAAGCTGGATGCTGACAAATATGGGAACGATCCAAAATTAGAAAAGATTAGAAAAGAAACTACTCCTGGATGGACATAATAACCATATGCAAAAATAAACTGCCAAATTATGGAGAAAAGATCAAATAAACTGCCAAATTATGGAGAAAAGATCAAATAAACTGCCAAATTATGGAGAAAAGATGTTATATGAGGAGCATCTACATTCGGATGATGATATCCTCTACATTCTGGATGACAGCAGCTACTTTGCCGTGAGAGATGACTAGGACAAGGGGTCCGCCTCTTCATGGAGACTGGAGACATAAGCACCCTACCCATGGGGATCTACCATGGCTTCACGCTGGATGAACAGAAGTATGGGAAGGCCAGGTGGTTGTTTGTGGGAGAACTGGTGTACGAACCAGCCAGCTAGGAGGAGTACATGGCATTTTTGGTGCAGACGGCATAGCAGTGCTCCCTGGGGGCCAGCACGTCTCCTTCACCCCCCTAGGGGCCAGCACACCCCTTCACCCCCTGTGAAGGTCCCGAGCGCGATAACAGAAAATCTGTTGTGTTCTCCTCGTTTTTATATTGTAGACTTAAGACTAGGTGACGCAAGATTATTTGATCAGAATATGTTTTCATGAAAGGAGCTATAAAACTGGTTTTTACACAGAAGTAACTGTGGAAATGTGGACGATCATATTCCTTTTCTCTGATTCAAGATCAGCGTTGCATAGTCCCAGGTCAGCACATGCACTTCACTTGAACCCAGATGAGTTTTAGTTCCCCAAGCGTAGCTGTTTAACTGCCCCTCCGGACCCAATTCAGCAGCTTTAAGTAGATTCCAGTCAATGCCATGGCTGCCTGCCAGGGAGTGTAAGAGTAGATGACAGGACTGGCTGGATATAACACACTCTTCTCCCAAAACATGGGTAGGGAGTGGAGAGGGAAGGGCGATTTCTCATATTAGGGAGACACTCTCAGTTGCTTATGCCACTTTCTTGTTCAAAATAAAGCAGCTGCCGTAATTTTAAAAAAAAAAAAAGAAAAGAAGAAAGAAAGAGAGAAAGAGAGAGAGGGAGGGAGGAAGGGAGGGAGGAAGGGAGGGAGGAAAGGCAGGAGGAAAGGCAGGAAGGCAGGAAGGCAGGAAGGCAGGAAGACAGGAAGACAGGAAGACAGGAAGGAAACTAGATAAGGAAGACCAAACTAAACCTAAAAGAAGCAGAAGGAAGGAAAGACAAGACTTGGGCAAAGATAAATGAAACAGAGCCTAGACAAACAACATAGAAAATCTACAAAACCAAAAGTTGGGTCTTTGAAAATATCGACGAAAAATAGACAAACCTTTAGCTGGACTGACCAAAAATAAAAAAGATTCAAATGACTAAAATCAGAAATGAAAGTAGGACCTTGCAAAATAAGGATTATGAGGAAATACTGCGAACAATTGTATGTCAACCAATTAGACAATCTGAATGGTCCTCCCAACATGGAAGACTCACCCTTTCTGATTTCAAAACTTTACTGCAAGGCTACAGTAATTGAGACAGCACGGTACCACTCTACGCCGCCAAGGCCTCCGTGTGTGAGCATACGCAGGGCACTTGCCTGAAAGCTTCATCTCGGAGAACAGCTGAGCAGCCAGCTCCTGCACCCTGGGCGGGGGGCCTGAGCCTTTCTTCTGAGTCCAGCCTCTCAGCTCCTGTCTGTGGTTCAGCACGTGCACTACAGAGCCAACCAGATCCTCTGTAAACTTGAAGATCACAATTTTACCATTAATAACGTTTCCACTGTGACCAATGACCTACATCATATCAATAAAGAGAAGGGAGTTTTCTCTCTTTAATGCCAACTACAATGCCACAATGTAGGAAAAGATAATATAACTTAGGTAGTGATTCATTTTTCTAATGATGCCCTTGGCTGGTCTAGTTTTGCCCGGGCCTTTATCCAGAGCTCTGACCTCAACCAGTTATGTAGTCTAGGGTTCCCAAAGGCCAGACATCTCCACAATGTCCCCACCAGCTGTTTGATCATCCCGAGTCCCCCACCTAAGGACACCGAGACTGCTTGGGATGGCCGTGATGGGCCACATGGCCTCTCTACCTTTTGAACTTCTCTTGCCTTCACAGGACCTTCTGTGACGGAAATCATATTCAGGATCATGAGACTCTTCTCCTCGGAGTTCCCTTTCAGCAGGTGGGACATCGAAACCGTGAACTGCTCCTGGGAGATGCTCTCGCTGGGCCCCTTAGCCTTCCCCGCTGGGTCAACGTTCCGCATGCCATTGTACAATCTGGTGACCATCTCTGGGGGAAGAGCTTCTCCAATGTGGCTCTGTTGGAGACAAGCAGGAGAAAAGGCTGGACAGGGAACCAGTTAAACATGGGAGGATCCCAGAAAAATAAACAAGGGGACCAAGACCAACCACTGCTATGGCATGATGCATCCACCTTCCTGAATCCCCACATGTACCATCCCTCTTCCGCCTAAGGGTATCACACTACCCAAGGACCCACATATCTAACGTGTCTTGGCTTGTGGCTCATCTTGGCCATCAGACTCTTCTGCAATCTGTACTCATCCCTCCAAACTTTCCAGTCTCCCCAGATTGGCCACATCATTCCTGACTCTGGCCATCATCTGCTCCTTACTCTGCTTAGAACATCATCTTCATTCTATACTTCGATAGCTGCCATTTGCATGTCTGAATTTATTAGCATATGTCTGTGTATAACTAATTTTGTCTCCTATATATTAGGGACTTCCAAATATATTAACTAGCTTTCACTTCTCATGCAGTTCTTTGTGCTCAGTAAGCATTTTTTTCAATATGCATTTTTAGTTAATTTTTATTTAAATTTAAAATCTAGGTCTTGATTAATGTCTTGCCAATAACATTCTTTAAATATTGTTTTCTTTCTGACTCCGACATCAGATCAGATTTGGTCCAGGGATTACAAATAAATGGCAAGGGAAAGCAAACCATGAACTAAATCACAAACTACCATCATAGTAGGGTCTGCAAACTGGATTCTCCTGTAACAACTCACTGTCTACACTATGACAACACTGTGACAATATTCTGCAGTTCTTGTAAAGCAGATTCCCACCCTCGCTGTTCAAAATGAGTATATCTATTTCTGTCAGTGTTTTCAAAACTCTATGAGGAAAAGCAACCTTGAATTCCTTCCCAAGAGAAACTTGATTCAGTCTCTTCAAGGTTTTCTGATCAACTTTTAACCATATCTATCTTGATAAACACTTGTGAATGCTGCCGCCCACTCTGCAGTCAAGTCCTTAACTGGCCTGTCTGGTTCTGTCTGCTCCAGCGTGATGTGTGACCTGGCAGACAGGGGTGCTTTTGGTCTAGTGGAGATACACGTGCACGCACGTGTGTGCACGCATGCATGTGCATATACATCACTCAGCTGTGCCCAGAAGCCTCCCTGGCCAGTTTCCTCATCTGTAAAGTGAGTATGCTGGGGGATCCACAATGCCCCATCGCTCCCATTCTAGAAGAACAGGTTGTTAGAATGCCTTCCAGCATTGCCCACCCCCTCCCCATCCCCGAAAGATGGGCTGATGTTGTCTCTTTGCCAGTGTCTTGCCTCAGTCTGAGCACTCAGACATGGTTAAAAGCCCAATAGAACAGGGCAAAAAGATGGGGAAACAGGAAATTTTAACTCCTTGTCAGGTGAACCTTGATTTTGAAACATCATTTTGTTAGAGGTACCAAAAAACTCCTAGGGCATCAAACACTTACACATCCTAAAGGCACAGGAACACCTGAAATTTTGTGGTTACTGGATCTACAAATCTCGCTAAGGCAGTCTGTCACCCAGAGGCAAATCAAGAGACAATAGTCAAGAGACGGGAAGCAAGGCTGGCCCCTTTGGTCATTGTCAAATTAGCGATGTCCCCAAAACATCACGATATGAAGGCAGAGCGGAGTAGGTGCAAAGAGACCACAGTAGCCCACAAAGCTGAAGATATGTACTATCTGACACTTTACAGAAAATGTTTTAGTGTTCCCTTATACCTGTCTTACAAAAACAGAGAGCTGATTTTGGCCCGGGGGGCTGTAGTTTGCAGACTCCTGCTCTGGACTAAACATAACTGATAACGGTTACTCTTGCCTTTAATGCCTTCAGAGAGAAGGATCTGGGTGAGGTATTTGAGCTGCTTTTCTCCGATGACAGAGTAGCAAACAATCTATCCATCTCAGCCCGCTCTGCAGGAAGAAACTGTGAACATACATTCTGCCTTGATCGGCTTTTGCTATTTCCCATCTTTCCTTAGACCTGGCAGGATTTTCTGCAGAAGGAAAAGATACCAATTAAAAAAAAAAAAAATCAAACTGTAATAATCATAGAAAATAAATGTTGATAAATATATGGTCAGGTTGATAAATATTGATTTAGCTGCAAAATTCAACTAAAGTGCATCAGAGCAATGTAATGTTATCTCAATGTCATGGAACATAACGGTCAATATAAATAAGTGTGAAAACCCAGCCCTGATTCCTATGATATCCGAAAGTGTGCTCATAATTGCCAGTCTGGATTTCTTTATTTGAAAACATAGTTCCCGAGTTGATGTAACTATAAGGTGTAAAAAAAAAAAAAAAAAAAATCACTATTTTAACCTAAATATTCATTTTTTAAAAAACTGAGTTGAAAAACAGCTTTAAGTCTGGATGATCATGTCGATGTAAGAAATACCCAAACCTATAGAGAATTTTTATCAGTTTATTTGTGCCAAACTGATGACAATTGCCGGGAAGCAAAATCTCAACGGATTGAGAAAATGCTCCAAAGGATGGCAGTTTTGCAGTTTCTCTTACACATGAGAATCGAAGGAGGAGACATAAGAAAGGCTTCATGAAATCTGTTCGTGGTAGATTAAGGGAGTAGGAGAAAGCAAAGGAGGGAGGATCGCTGGGATTGGATTAAAAGTAAAACGAAGAGACACGTACTTCTTTTACGTTGGTGGGTACAGGAGAGTTAATTAACATTTAAAGCATATAGAGATAGTATTCAGGGAATGAGATAATAATGAGGGGATCTGTGTTCTCTCTGGCGTGGAGGTTGTGCTCTGAGGGGTCTGGAAAAGAGGATTACGCTGATATTTCAGAACTAAGTTATCTTAGATGCAAAAAGACAGTAGAAAGACTCACTTAATGTAAAAATTGGCCTTTGTCAAGGAAGCTACAGGCCTAGGATGTGACTACTTGTCATGACACACTTTTAATTAGGGATTTTTATGATCAGACCATTCTATATGGTTACTTTCAGTCTGAGTTTGTAAGGCCTGCAATGCAGGTCTCCCCTAAGCCTGTCAGGTTTAGTATGTGGCCCCTTTTTCCACCCACAAATTACATTAGTTGAATAAAATCAACACCTTGAAAATATCACCAAGAGAGAGAACACACTATTTGACAAGTTTTCCTTTGTGATCCTGGCTCTGCCTCCTACTAGCTGTATAGCCTTGGGCAAGCTACTGAACCACTATACCTCAATGTCCTCATTTCTAAAATCGGAATAACAACAGCCCTATCTCAGAGATTGTGATAATTTAACAAGTTAATTCTCACTCCTGAGATTCCAGCCAGTGAGTTTAGGAATATTTGCAGAGACTAGTACCCAAAGTCACAGACCGCATTACAGAATGGGGTCAAATGCCAACAGATCCGTGGATTCAAAGAAAAAGCAGTCCGATTTTAAAAAATCTCTTTAGAGGCAAGTGTGGCAACTTCTTAATTCCTGCTCTTTATCTGGAAACTCACGTCGGTGAAATTGCTGGAAAGACAAGCACTCCATAAACGACGTCAAACCAACAATCAACGGTCTTTCACCAGGTCAGCAAGGGACGGGCAGGCCATCTCAGCTGGCACCAGGCGTGGGTGACGGGCCCGTCAAGTCCTGGCTGTTCAAAACCGCAAGGGGAAATTGGATGCAGTTGCCATCTTTTCTTTTCTTTTTATTAAGGTGAGACTCGCCTAACATTAAATTCGCCATGTTCAAGTATACAACTTGGTGGTATTCAGCGCATTCACAGTGTTGTGCAAACACCACCTCTATCTAGTTCCAGAACATTTCCATCACTGTAACCGCGCCACGGGCTTCATTTCTTTAAGATAGCTTTTTCTGATTCCAGCAAGCTTTACCTCGCATAACGGCGTTATGACTCACTTGCTTTTTCTACCCTTGTGTACCTACTCCCTCAACCATTAAGTGTTAGGAGATATGGTTCTGGCCAGTGTCAAATCTTTTAAGAATAAAGCTTCATGCCTATTGATCAAGAGGACATGAAGGTTTGGTTCAACTAAAGATAGTATCTTGGCTTTAGGTGTGTTTCAGCCCCAGGCCCTTGGAGGAGGAACAGCCCCACCGCCATGGGACCAGACGGGATGATGCCATGGCTGATTCCAGAAATGGGGGTGATGATCGATGACCCCAGCCCTATCCAATCAGTAGCGCCCATGACTCCAATTCCCTGAGTTTCCGGTGGAGGGGTGAGGAGGACAAGTCTTTGAGTGGTAGCTTGCCTGTGCCTCTGGGACTTGCAACTCTCTAAAATAAACCTTTACTTTCTTTGCTACAAAACCTGTACGTGCACAGGCAGACGGACGGACCCCTTTGCTCTGGTAACATCATCCCAAAAGAAATACTGGACCCATTAGCTGTCATTCTTCATTCCACTCCCCGACAGCCCCTGGCAGCCACTAACATGCTATATCTGCGGGATCTGCCAACACTGGCCATTTCACGTAACTGAAATCATACATATGTGCTCTTTTACGACTGGCTTCTTTTCACTCAGAACATGTTTAAGGTTCATCCATGACATAGCGCGTGTCAGCACTCCATCCCTTTTTCGTGGCTGACTTATACTCTAGCATACGGAGATACCATGCTTGGTTTATTCATTTATCATTGATGGACATTTAGGCTGTTTCTACCTTTCGGGTATTGTACACACACGTTCGTGACAGCACTCTTCACATGTACTCGAGTCCCCGCTTTCAAATTTGGGGGGTACAGACCTAGGAGTGAAATTTCTGGGTCCCATGGTAATCTGATGTTTAACTTTGGAGGAATCACCACCCGGTTTTCCATTTTCTATTCTCAGCAGCAGAGCGCAAAGGTTCCAATTTCTCCATTTCCTCTTTAACACTCATGTTATTTTTCTGCCATTTTTATCACTGCCATCCTGACAGAGGGACCCATCTGCCCAGGATAGGAAGGCTCCTGCAGAGGGCTCCTTGGAGTCAGACTGTAGCACACTTGCAATGGCAGGCTGGAAATGAGGGCTTACGCAACCCAGTTTGGAGCTGTCACTCACGGGCCATCTGATCTGATTGCTTCTACTCCTCAAGTTTCTCAGCAGCATAAGAGCCAAGAAGGAAACCTCCAGCCCCAGGCTCAAGGTCTAGTCTATGTGAGGCTCCCCTCATCTCTAAGACACAGGGGATGGCACCAGCTGGCGCCTGGGCCCCTCCGGGACACAGCGCAAGCGACCACATCAAGGCAGACCCGTACTCTTCTGTCAGCTCTTCTAAGGATCCCAAGAAACATCCTGATCATTTAGGACTCAATTAGGAAATGATCCAACATCATTTGTTTTTAAATACCCACTGATTCCAAAGGAGAATAGGAAAGCGTGCGAAGCAAAGGAAGAGGGCACTAACATCACTGACACGGCAATTAATTTCATATCTTACGTGCCGTGTGCATTATGAAGTGGCCTAAGGTAATGCCCAGAAGAAATCATAACAGAATATATGTCCATGCCCACCGGCTGAGGTCGAGCAAGAGCCTGTGTGGTCAACGCCACGTTTCCGAGTTGCTGCAGCGAGGAAGCGTGGGGGTCTCAGTAAAAGTGTGTGTGAGGGGCGCTTGGGACGGGGTTGGGCTGCCTTCTTGGGAGGCTCAAAGGGAGGGCTCGGTCTGGATTGGGTGTGATTCAGGGCCTTGGTATCTTAATTTTTAACAAAAGTGCAGGAAGAACAGAAAGGGGTTCAAGTTATATTTAGGAAGGAAGCAGCACTGTTCATGTTTCCCAGGAGAGGGGGCTGGGGGTTCCTCGGGGGGCTTGCACAGTGATCTGATCTTTGTACAGCGTGATTCTGCTTTTGCATTGTTATGTCACAGTTTTGGATATATTAACAGTAAATCACAACTTTAGTGAAAAGTATTTTTAAATTCATTCTCCCCCCGCCACCACACACACAAAGAGGGAAATTCGATTCTCTCAAGATATGTGTTAATTTATCAGTTCACCAGAAAATCTCTCTGCACCCCCATCTTGTTATTCTGCTGAAATCCTGAAAACAGTCAATGTATTAAAATGCACCCTAGTGAATTCACTTCATTCTTAGATAGGGTCTTCATATCAAAGATCGTCAAACTTTTTCACTCTCTCTAGAAAACCTTACAATGTTGACATGAGAAGGCCCATGACTTACCTTAACTCTGGAAGAGATGAAGTCTTCCCAGTACCTGAGAGGGAAAGGTTTTTGAGACATTAGCACAGCTTCACTTCAGAGCTGAACTCTCAAGGCTGTGCCTACCCCAGGCAGACTCCCAAGGCTGGCCTCATGGAGGCAGGTGGTCCACTTGGGACATCAAACGCCAGTCCTTCTGGGCAATTTCTGTCTGCCCCTTGTCTGGCTCAGAGGACCTTTGCTGTTTACTTTGCATCTCACCGTCCTACTCAGCCTTTGGGTTCCAAGATCACCTAGCATTGTGACTTTCCTAGAGCTGACTGCTGCCTTAATTTAAAAGGAGACAGGCTCATCCTCACTCACTCTGCTTGCCGCCCCACCCCCCACACCACCCCATCACCTCTGGCACCCAGGTTCATGCCTAAATGGTTGGCTAGAATCTGAAAGTCACAAAAGAGACACTGTCCTATGGCCATCTGCCCAGCACCTGAGCCAACCTGGCACACACAGGCACAGGACATACCTGTCCAATGGGTATGTCATTCATTGTTGACCTCTCAGGTGGATCAGCTCATTTTCCACCACCTTGTGGGCTCCATTGTGCAAATCCCAGGAGGCTGGACTGGTCTAGAACCTGAGAAGGCCCTAGCACCCCACATTCAGCTCCCAAGAAACTCACACCCAGACACCCATAGCACTCAGGGGCCCCTTGATTAGTGCCGCTCACTCTACCACACACGATAGGTCACCTGCCCAAGGACAGGCCCCAGGATGCCTTGTGTCTATACCCCACAGCCCAGGCCTGGGCCACAGGAGGGACACAGCATATACGAGGAAGCAATTCACTCGGCCATCTCTGCCCAGAGAAGAACAACAAGCACAGAAGCTACCAGAGAGAGCTGACAGCAAGGACGAGATCTTGAGCCAACGCCACCTCTGGCTTATAGACAAAGACATCTGCAACTCTGATTCCCAGAATCCCGAGACAGCTTCTTCCCTGCTCAAAACCCGAGGAATCACTCTGTGAGGGGATATCAGCTTCTTTAAGGGGTTTCTCACCCTCTTCCCTACTGACCTTGGCTGGGGCTAAAAGGCTACCAACATTTAAATGCCATTCCTCGAAAGTTTCCACATTGTTCCATGACTGAGGACTCAGGGGTTGTGCCACTGAGAGGGCATGGTCACCGCCTCCTGCGGGACACTTTCTGATGTCAGCACTCAAATCCATTCCTTCAATACATAGCTAAGCATCTCCTGGGCCAGGCCTCGTCGGAGAAGCCTCAGGCAAGCCTAGACCTGCAGGAGCAGCCTGTCCAACAGGGAGAGAGAGACAAGCACTGTGGGAATCAGTGGGGATCAGGCTGAGGAGAACAGAGGAGTCAAGACACAGTCGAGCTGGGTTTTCAGGCACTGCAGGCGGTTCGCCTGTGAAGCGGGTGCAGTGCGCACGATCAGCGAGGTGAGGTCTACTGTGTGGAAGGTACCAGAAGGGGCTACAGAGCAAGGGGGGTCTTGTCTGCCCCTCACTTCCAGCCTACCCCGTCTCCTCTTCTGTCTCAGTAGAAACAGCTTCTTCCACCATTGTATGAAAACAAATCAGTACAGAGCGGCCAGTCCTCCAAGGTGCCCAGGGAGAAAGGAGCAGGCTGGGCAAGCATCCAAGAGGAAAGGCAGAAATGCACAGGAGGTACAGACCATCAACATGGGGGTGGGAACAGGTCAGCACCAGGAGATGTGGAAAGGCCCGGAAGCAGGGCCCCCTGGCAACACTGGTTTTTCTTCTAGCGGGAGGGAAAAGGGTGTGTAGCTGCCTCAGGTAGAAGTTTCAGGCCTATGGAAGGAGGGGCAGCCTCTAACGGCATGCCCCTACCCCTGCCCCACCATCTGCAGGGCACTGGTGAAGCGACACACCTCAAAACAGCTCCAAGGACAACCCCACCTCCTTTTAAAGAGCTCCTGTGAGGCCGGATGAAATAATGGCAATGGTACAAAGTGTTCCCAGGTTCATCCGTCCCAGCCTCGACCGCTTTAACCATGCCAGAAATCTCTTTAATCAACTTCAGGGAGGACATGAAGGACTTTGATGCGTCCTTACTTCTCCCCATATACAAGTTCCTGGCAATGGTTTTCTCATAACTGTCCTGGGTGTAGCTCACTATGTGGGACAGGCTTTTTCCTGGCGAGTTGTGCATAAAACAACCCTCTGCTGGCCTGAGTCTTCTATAGGTTTACATATATCAAGTTCTCTTTCAGGAGGACACACCGAAATGTTACTCTAAGATCGCTCACACCAGTAGTTCTCGACCAGGGATGGTTTTGTCCCCCAGGGAACATCTGGCAATAATTTTTGGTTGATGCAACTGGGGAGGGAATCGCTGTCGGCAAATGGTGGGTAGAAACCAGGGGTGCTGCTAAATATCCTACAGTGCACAGGACACCCCCCCCACCCCCCAACAAAGAATTACTTGGCCCCAAATGTCAGTAGGGCAGAGGGTGAGAAACCCTAGCTTCCAAAGATGTGGGATCATGGGGCAGGGTGGGGGATCCACAATGAATGGCACTGAATCATTTCGGGAACACTCCCCTCTCAGAAGCTTTGGTATAAGCAAAGATGGGCAAATCTGAGTTCAAGTGCTGACATTTGTTGATTATATGACTGGGGGCAAGTTACTAAGCCTTTTTGAACCTTAGTAAAATGGGGAAAGTGCCTCCAACCCTGTAATGAGGTGGAAAGGATTAAATGAGGTAACACAGCATTTGATTCTGCTTTCTGGAGCCAGAGACAGAAACAGATGAGCCCACAAGGGAAGGTTGAGTTCTTGCCTTGGAAGGAACAAACTCTCTCAGTGCTGGGGAGGGAGCCAGGAGCCCTTTTTTGTAAATTGGGGCCTGCAGTTCCAGCTAGCATCCTAGAATAGCTCAGCCAACCCCTTCTCAGAGCCTCTGCACTGGCTCCTATGCCGGGGGTGCTCTCCGTACTGACCTGCCAACTCCTAACCCCCAAACTCCAAGGTGCCACTGTCCTGAGAGTGGTGACCTGGCCCTCAGTAACCCGTCTCTGAGAAGAGTCCAACCACTTCCTCTGGACAGAAGCACTTAAAGCCCTCTTTACAACCCCAAACCAACAGCTCTGCTGCAAAGGGTCAGCTTGAACCTGAGCCAGCTTTCAGGCAGCGCAGAGTCCCTGCTGGCCAGAAGGTGACCTGCCCTGCTCAAGGCTGGCTTCCTCCCTCCAGGAAACCCCGCTGGCTCATCTGCAGACTTTCTTTTCCTCTCTCCTTTACCTTAAATGTAATGATCAACTAACCTGGAGAAAAACTAATAGGTTGTGATCAGAATACGAGGAGGAAGATTCCCCTATCCTCACCGCCCCCCCGCCTCTCCACACACACACTCCGGCATTACCCAGGGCACCTCCTTCTCCCCCAACAGATGTTCCCCTGTCCCTCCCACATCTATACCAGTTTTATTGCTCCCCCAGACAGCTGGCCTCCAACCTGGGGATGGCACCCGCCGGGACTCTCATCTCCACCACACAAAAGGCAGAAGGTACGGGGTGATTCTGTGCTCCGACTGACGGCTCAGGGAGACCCTCCCATCCAAACAGCTGTCCCCGCCACCGCCCCTCATCTTCACCGACTCTGGGGTCGAAAGCATAGGCAGCCAAGGAGGCGCAGGGCCCAGGCGACTCCGGGCACCTTCGCTCCCAGAACCAGGGCCATCGCCCCTGATCCCTACCCTTGCTGCCCGGCCAGGGCCATCGCCCCTGATCCCTACCCTTGCTGCCCGGCCAGCGCCTCTACTCTCAGCTCACCTCCGACCTACGTAGCATGGACCAGGACTCACTTTCCGGACAGGGTGCTCAAGGTTTCTTTCCTAAAGCAGGCAGCCCCGTTGTTGGGCGACAGCGCTGACGGATGGCCATCTGCCCCAATCGCAGAAGTGGAAGTTGAGGGGCGGAGTCCTATAAAGGAGTCAGCCAATGGCAATACACCTCATGGGCGGGTAAGGGCGGGGCCATGGCTTGGACTTGGTGGGGGGTTGTGGGTGGAATAAGCGTGCTTCCGGCTGGAAGAAGCGGCTGGGGGCTGCGGGATTTATGCTGGAGCAGCTGAGGAAGAAACTGGAAAAGAGGTTGGAGACAGGCTGGGAAAGAGAGAGGCCGATGATTCAGGTGAGAAACCAGGGAGGCCAGCCTGGGAAGGGAACGGGTGTCTCGGCTGCAGGGGAGAACAGTAGCTGGGCTGAGAGAGACACAGGGGTATGGCTGAGATGGGGCGTGTGGCTGGGATGGGGGTGTGGCTGAGAGAGGGCTGTGACTGGAAGGGGTGTTGCTGGGAGGGGTGTGGCTAGGGTGAGGGAGTAGATGGGGAAACAGACTGTGCTTGGGAGCTGAAGATAACCCGAGGAGAGGGGTAGGTCCAAAAGGAAACAGTACGGGGCGGGGGCGGGCAGCGGGGAAGAGGCGGGTAGCCCAGCTTCGGGACCCTCCACTGCTGAGGCCCCAGTGTATTAAAACCCAGGCACCTCTCCTCTGACACCCCTCACACTCCCCACCACTGGTTCTCGAGGCCCCTCTCACCCTGAAGAAAGTGTAGCCTCCTAACTAGAGCTGGGGCTCCTGTCCCCCCTCTGTGACCTCTGCCCCGCAGCCCATCACTTACTTCCCGCTGGTAACGGTGTCTTCTCCTGCGTTCTCTACCAGTCCTTCCCAGTAGCATTTAAACGGGCTCAAGCCCCTCCAGTCTTGGTAAATAAACGTTCTTTGAGCCTCAAGCCCTTCTCTAGCTAGTACCCATCCCACCTTCACTCCAAAATGTCTCAAGACGGTTGTCCCCATTTCTTCACCTTCTATTCAGTCCCCATACCACTGACACCTGGCCCCAGGGGCACTGTCACTTAATCTAATGGGCATTTGCAGCCGTGATATGCAGTTGGAATTCCCACCTTCCTGTTAAAGCTCTCCTCCCTGGGTGTCCAGGTGGCTGGGTTCCTGGCTTTTCTCCCTGTCTCTCCCTATAGTTTTCTTAGTCTTTCTTGGCTTCCGTTCTACTGGTCCTCATGCCATTCCCTATGGCCATCCCACTTCTCACCCTACACATCCTCCCTGGACAACATCCTTCCTCATGAAAACCTTACCCTTGACTTCAATTCCTGCTCTTCTAGCCTGCATTTTAACACATGTCCACTTGTTTATCAGGCATATCTACAAGGCTGCACCTCAAGTTCAGCTGAACACAAACTCAGCCTCTTCCCTCCAAAACTGCTTCTCTTATTTACCTCCTTCCTTAGTGCAGGTCACACCACCTTCCATGCCTGAGTCAGAGAGAGACCTGGAACCAGCCTGGATGCTTCCTCTTCTCTCCTCATATGCCATTACTTACTAAATGTTTACCTCCAAGATATGTCCTGCATCTACTCACTTCCCTACAAAGGTCCAGGCTAGACCTAGACCCAATAAATCCCACAGAGACAGCCCCCTTCCTGGCCTCTTTGCTTCCTCCAACCCATCCCCCACACTAAACACACAAAGATCTAACCTGCTCCCTAGACAGAGAGAGAATCTCAGTATTACCTGGGCTGTTCATCAGGCCTGAATGACAAACACAGACAAAACCAGCTGCAAAGTTCACAGAAACAGTACTTCTCGAGGGCCCCTGGCGGCAGCTGTAGTGTTAAAACAACCCCCTTTTTAAAGTAATGACTTTTTACTCAAAAAGGACTTTGAACTCTAAAGTCATAGATTAGCAGAAACTTCACTGTTTGAAATTCCATCAGTAAGAATGAGACTTCCACCTCCCTTCTGGAAGATGTAAGTCGCTTTGACAGAGAAGCTTCTGGACTTCCAGCCTGGGTGCAGAGCACCAGATGGGTAATTTCTGGACATGACCATCCCACAGCTATTTTGACTTGTGCTTCCCAAGGGAACAGGAGCCAGGTCCCTTTGCAGCCCAGACCTGATTCTGGCCCCTTCCCATATGGCCCTGCTTTGCGCCAAGCCTGCCAAAACACCGTTTTGTGTCACCTCACTTCCACGAAATCCTATGAAAACTCTCTTTACTTCTGCCAGGTGATCTGCCCAGGGTTCCCAATGCAATGAATTAACACCTGATTTGTCAGACTATACAGCAGTCCCTGACTTTTTTTGGCACCAGTGACGGGTGCTCCTATGGGAATCGAATGCCTGATGATCTGAGGTGGAGCTGAGGCGGTGATGCTAGCGCTGGTGAGCGGCTGCAAATACAGATGAAGCTTCGCTCTCTGGCCTGCTGCTCACTCCCTGCTGTGCAGCCCAGTTTCTAACAGGCCACAGACTGGTACCGGTCCGTGGCCCAGGGGTTGGGAACCCCTAGACTGTGGGGTTGACCCTGATGATCTTAGGCTTGTGGGGATAGGACAACAGTAAGGTCCAAAGTGGTAAAGGCAGGCTGTCCCTCCAGTTTACGGGTACATATTGAGCATCTGCTACATGCCCGGTGCTGGCGACACAGCAGTGAACGACAGAGCCCCTGCTCTCATCAATCCCCACTCCTCGAATGAGTTCACAAATGAGGATTAAATTCAAGGGAGAAGGTGGACTGGGGCTGCTAGTCACGGATGAGAAGTCTGGGGAAAGATAACAGGAAAACAAATGAGGACAGGAGGGGGTGAGATATAGCAGGAGAACAAGGTGAGATGTAAAGAAACGAACAAGGATTTCCAGGCTTAAAAGAACTCAGAGCCAATCCGAACGCTTCTTTTCTTGGGTCAGAGTCTACTGTCTTTCCAAGCTCTTTCTACCCATCTTTGTCCCCACCCTCCCTGCCAATCAGATGCTTCTTGGCCATTTTCCAAGTTGGAATAGAAGAGAGCCCCTTGCTGCCTGGCCCTGCCTGAGGGCTGTGGACTGCTGATGGCTCGTAAGGCCTGGCCCCTCATGGAGCAAATGGTCTGAGCACTGAGGTCAGTGGGCAAGGAGAAGCAATTCCATGAGAGCAAAGTGTCCCAAAGCCCAGCCAACCCCACCCTCCTGTTGGCTGGTCACAGGAGTGAATAACCCCAGCTCTTCACTTCTACTCACTCAAGTTAGGTTTCAGCCACCTGCGGCCAAGGTAATAGAAGGATTAGATCCCCTCGTCCTTCTCACACACCTGGGTCTTGTGTGTGCACTTTCAGTAATACCCAAGGCGGTTGCATTCCACACAAAGAGGCTATTTCCTGTGGGCTGAAGCACACCAAGGACATGGGGACAGTAGTGTCCATCCCAGTAGTTGCAGGCACTGGGGGACAGAAGGGGTGTCCTGGCTTTAGAAGTTAAAACATAATACAACCAACTAAAAATTGGTCTGCTTGTTTCACCAAGAGCTGGCAAGTCTAAGCAACATCAGTGATGTAATTCTCCCTGAAAAAGCCCTTTCTATTTGTCCCCCCTTATCTGGGGGGGGATACATTCCAAGACTCCCAGAGGATGCCTGAAACTGAGGCTAGTACTGAACCTTATGGATGCTGTTTTTCCTATACATACTATATATACCTATGATAAAGTTTAATTTATAAATTAGGCACAGTAAGAGATTAACTACAGTAACGAATAATAAAATGCAACAATTACAATATGCAATAAAAGGTATGTAAATGTGACATCATTAAGTAAAATACGGTTTCTTGAACACACATGCAATACCTCGACAGTCAACCCGACAACCCAGACAGCTCCTAAGTGACTAACGGGCGGGGAGCGTCTACAGCGTGAAGCTGCTGGACAAAGGGGTGATTCACATCCAGAGCGGGACGGAGCAGGACAACGCAAGATTTCATCACGCTACTCAGAACGGCACGCCATTTAAAACTTATGAATTATTTATTTCTGGCGTTTTCCATTTAATATTTCAGACTGCAATTGACCGCAGGTACTTGAAACTGCAGAAAGCGACACCGTGGGGAAGGAGGGACCGCTGTGCTGATCTGAGCACAGTCCTGTGCTGGCAGGCTTTTTCTGCGCAAAGCCAGAGGGTAAATATTTTAGATTCTTCAAGCCATATGGTCTCGGTCACAATAACTCAATTCTGCTGTCATCACACGAAAACAGCCACAGATGATATATAAACAATTGAACCTGGCTGAGTTCCACTCTGACTTTATGGACACTGAAATTTGAATTTCACATAATTTTCACATGTTATGAAATACTATTCTCCTTTTGATTTTTTTTTCCAACCATTTAAAATGTGGAAATCATTCTTAGCTCACTGGCTGTACAAAAACAAGCAGCTGGTCAGATTTCACTCTCAAGCCATGGTTTGTTGGCCTCTGTTCTTAACAGTTATTGCTGTTAACTGTTAAGTTTTAATAACATTTATATAAGGTTCAAATTTTCACATTTTTATTACATATCCTTTAAAAACTGGGTTTATTTAGAGAACTCCCAGTTATGGAGCTGGCTTCCAACACACAGGCATTCATCTCAAGAGTAAGTTTGAAGTATCCAGAATTTTCTGAGCTCACTTAGGGTCCAGTGTGGGGTCTCCAGCCCCCTCCTATAGTGCCTATTCCTGCATTAAAAGAGTGGGTTTGCAAATCAATGGAAGTACAGTGATTGGAAAGTCCAGGAAACAGATCTCAAGCTACTTCAGTGCTGTCATTATATGTCCACTAAGGGTTTTTATGGTTAAAAATTTCTAGAGCAACCTAAAAGCTTTTAGAATTAATCAAAGACACAAAGTCAAGAAGAGTGTTTTAGTTTCCGGAATGAACTACGGAATGAAACTCATATGAATCTGTCCAACATAGCCTTATGTTTAAGGCTTTTTCTATTTGTATAGTGTTGCTTCATGGAAGAAACGTGGAAAGTAAAATTAATACTTCATAATATTAATTTTCATAATATATGTGATTGACTATATAAATGTGAAAGAGGCGGCAAATCTCCTTTTCAGAAGAACCCCAATATGTATGTAGATACTCTGCAG